TGAATTCGCAGTCACAGGCATACAATATTTATCAGTTCGCACACTGACTGCGGAACTCTGCACTGCATGTCATATCGTATCTTGTACATTCCATGGCATATACATTATCTTTACTAGCATGGCTTATGTTCCTAAATTGTACGAATGCTTTCGAGAGCGCTGACATGTCATTGCTTATCAGTTTGCTGCTCGAGAATGGTGTCTACCCAATTATGAGCACATCTATGAACGCTCTGAGTCACTAACTTTGCCTAGCTAAACAGTGAACTTTCTCTTTGCTCAGTAGTGAATGTCCTGCTTCACAGAAATCACCTTTTCTCCTCACTTGTTTACGTACAACAGCTGCAAGTGTGCAGATGGTGCACAACTGTCACCGTCGAGGCATCTTCGATGCATGAATAAATTCAAACGAGTTTGTGGTATGCTCCGCTTCCCTGCCCCTCGTACTTATTGCTTCCAGTTGTTGTGCCGCAATATTCGCCATTTTACTTGATCCTATTTTGCGAGTCTTGTAGATAACTCCCGAATTGGTGCCACACAAAGTTCCATGGATCTCAGGTGAGAATGGACTACAGCAAATTGCGGAACTCTATTTGCAAGGAAGCACCACACGCATCGCGGACACTAGTAGCCGATAACATACACACTGTTGGTGGAGGGAAGGTGAATCAAGGTGGTTGACGACATGCAAACTGCAATATCCAATATTTACAGATGTCATAGTGGATCATGAAAATCTTTTTACGACAATATCTGGTACAAATGGTGATGGTTTATGAACGTCTGACACATTTCGTAAACTAGGAAAACCACTGTTTCCTTTTCAGCTATTCTAAATACTTCACTACGTGTTAGGCGCATTTTTACATGTGTTAATTAATGGTTTACTCTCCTTTGAAATTGACACAACAATAAGTACATGATCATGCGTTTCTTAGTGCTTTTCCCTTTCTTTGGTTTACCTCGAAAGGACCGCAGCTTGATTATGCGGTTGATGAGACATGTTTTTTCTTACAGCACCTTGCTTAGCTGCACCATCGTCCAGTTGCTTGCTATAGCACCTTTTGTTGCTCGTGCCTTGTTTTCTTTCGAGGCACTACCTAGCCCCTTTCTCACCACGTATGGCGATTTTGTACTTATTGTTTACTGACACGTGTGATACCCAGTGTTTCCATTTTTCGCGTGCATTGTAGCACAATTCCGTCTTGTTGTACATTCACGTCTTTGTTCCAAGCCCGCTAGACGAAAATTGCACGTCCTCTGTTCTACATTTGCTTATTGTATGGCTACTTGCTTATATATTTCAGTAGTTCGCAACTATGGTGTAAATGTATGAAAGCAAAGCAGGTGTGCTTGTGCCAAGCGTTGCGCGTCGTGACCCGGTGGCTTAGGAGTAGTGGTCCCAACTAACATTCCAATGGTTCCCGGGGTTCGATACCTACCTGATGAGACGAACAAACATCGTAACGCGTCGTGCTCGTGTAGTGTTTTCGGGCGGGCAACACGCAGTTTTCATCTGCGATCCTAGTGATCGCATTAACCAAGGTTCACTTCAATGTGAATCGCGGTCCACTTTAAGATTGCGCATCGCAATGCACCCAGATAACGAGTACCATAAAATGACTCATCAGTTAGGTGTGTTAACCTTTTCATTAGTCTCCTTTGTCCGGGTGCTGAACGGTTCACCCACGAATGATCTTTCCAACGGACGGAAACGCCTAGTACACACTCATATATTAAATAAAGGGGCGGGTGACATGCTTGTTATTTAGCTACTCATAACTCCCGAGACTCGCATTATTTCAAGCATAACCTTTCTGTAACTAACCGATCCGTGTATGCTGAAATGGTCACACGTTTTTACACTTGCGGTTAGGGGCTAGTTGTAGGCCAAACTGAAATAAACACCATTTCACTACCGCCGTATACAATGACAAGAGGTTGATTTGCAGGTTCTAGCGGCGCCATCTGTTGCTGACATATTTTGCAAACCATCACTGTCTACTACCACCCCCCATGACTCGGTGAGATAAGCTGCCGCCTACTTGGGGCAAGCTGCTGGCGGTCGTGAGTTCGGTTCCCTGAAGGGGACCGAGGAAGCAAGCACTACTACCGAGCTCTAATAGAGCAATACGGTCGTCTCGTGCTTTTCCTTTTTGGCGGTTAGAACAACTAGCTTGCGAGCTAATGGGACCAATCAGCAAAATATCTTGGCATTGGCAACCGCCCCGTCGCAACCAAACAACCAGTTATCCACCGCGCATTGGGAAAAACGCTAGACTGCCGCTTCATCCTGTTAGGACTGCACTTTCTTTGAATGGTGCAGGGTTCGCATCCATGACAATCTCCTCGCTTCACAGCGGCTTAACTTATTCAATGCTTTCGTCATTTCAATTTGCTTACGCCATCCAGTGCGGTCAGTGCAACATCCGTCAGTATCGAACTCACTCATGGATCGGATCGTGCATTGCATTGAAAATTCTTGGCGTTGCTGTGACTGCAATCTCTCTCGAACTCGAGGTGGTATCGGCAACAGCGAAACTCGCTTATTCTTCGCCGATGGGGCTACGATAGTTATGTTTCTTGAAGCATGGTTTGGCTGTTTTTCTTACTCCACTTGTACTTGGAAGGTATACTACCGGCCGTTCTTGAGGCGCTCATGCCTCCTAGTCAGCATGCTTGGGAGTACACCGATAAACAACGTCAAGTTCTTATGGTGCGTTGTGGTAGATAACTGAAGGAAATGACAACGAAATAAATAAATCTATTTCTCGACGGTGCGAGAGGCTGTACATGCATGGAGGCGGATCAACAGGTTTCAAAGATAATGTCATCCAACATAGGATTGGAAATAATTCACTTCAGCATGCGGGATTGTCACCTGTGCAAGTATTTATGTGTGTTGTATTATTGTTGAATTATAAGGCCAGCTCCTGTCAGTGTCACACATTCCTTGCTTTGAGAGATGGAAGAAGTTGAGTATGCCTGGACGAAGTACTGGGGGTGGGCTCTTAATACTCAAATAAGGGCTTCAATCGGACTGCTTTCGCCAACTGCTAGTTATAGTTGTTATCCAGTGAATGACTTGGTTTTTGTCTCAAGAACCGATAGATGTAACGACACGAGCAATTACTTATCCGAGGAAACGCGGCATCAGTAAACATTCCCAGCACCATACTGTGTCTTACTTACTAATTCAAATCCGTATATTTAGTTGTTAGGACTCATTTACCTTCTGAAAGATTAATTACATTATGGATTGCTTTCACAAAGCCATATATTTGAGACAGCGAAGAACCACCGAACACTCCAGACGTGTGTTTCAATAAATGTGATGCCACACGGACTTCGCATGATGGCTTAGGGTTGAATGCAGCTGGTGGTGGCTTCGCATTCAATGCCACCATCCTATCTGTCGATAAACTACCAGTGGTTTACTGAGCCCTCAATCCGGCGTATACGTGAGTGGCCTTCCCTTCATTTCGAATTCGGTATTGCTCAAACAGAGAGGGTCTAAGTGCGCCGAAGTATATCAGTAGTCTGATCTGCTGAACATCAGTTGACCACTTATTCTTGTTTTCTGGGATGGAACGAGACACAGAAACCGGATGAGATAAAGAGATACAGTACTGGGATGGTCAAAGATGTATTGCACAACACCGTGAATTACCATAGAATTCTGTCGCAATTGTTCCGAAAGACCAAACTTGACGGTATAATGGTTCCATCCCGTCCGTATTGAAGAACGCACCTTTCGTAAGTAGTATAAATATGCTATAGATAACCAGTTTGTCCCTATGTGTTGTCGACGCCATTTTCGGACACCGTTTCTTAAGACTGAGATGACCGTAAGGTATGTATGGTGTTTTGCACAGTGAGATGTTTCCTGACATGTAATTTACCGCACTTCTTGATGCTTTGGGGTAATTTGCTCCAGAACTTGGAGTAAGCAATGAGAAAGAAGTTTTCCTTCATTCGTGTTTTCGTCCTTGGAATTGTGACCTCGCCACTGACATCACGTATGGGACATCTGCATTACTGTGTCATGCACAGGTTTACCCCTGCGGTGTGACCCCAGTTATGTTTGATTATGAACAAAAGCACAGGTTTAACATCAATCTTCGCAACGATATAGATTTCAGTCTAAGGATAGTAGAGCGCTCACCGTAAGCTGTGTGGAGTATGCAATTATTCTTCTAATAAACTGGCTCAGCTGCCGACCAGTGACGCATTCATGAAAGCTGGCACCAATCCTATACTAATCGCGTAAATCAATGCAGGTCGTTTCGGCACACCAGCTCAACAAACCGGCAGGTCACGCAGGTAAGGGAGGTTAGATGTTGAGCCAAACAATACATCGTTTAGGACTAGAAACCTGGGTTGCGTTCAGCGCTCTTGTGCACGTGTTGTACATGTTCGTCGGTGACCTTGGGAGGTTGGTCATGAACACCATAACCGGTCGTTTCATGCGCAATACTTCATGTGCTCTTATCCTATTCCACGGACAAGAGTAGTCCTTAAACTAATTATGAATTGATGTATTTCCAACACAGTAAAGCATAATAATGCTGCATCGTTCTCCACGTTTGTTAAGCGAAAAAGCGTTCATGCAGCGTTCATTTAAGCCTATGAATGGATCAAAGGCTGACAACGGGCTTGAGTTACTTTCAGCACAGGTATGACAAGCTTACATCAGTGTTTTCGACAACAACGATCCACATATATTAGGAGAACCAAATCAAACCAGTTATAACAGGGTATTCCTACAGTTTGGGAGATAATTCTCATGAGCCAATGGAACGCACCCTATATGTGTGCCTCAAGTTACCCATGAGGTGGATATTGGATGATCGGAAGCATGCTGTTTGAGTTTGGTCCAAGTCTGGCCGGTCCAGCGATTGGTTTGGCAGTATACACAGTACATGTATACAATTATTCACTTAACACCAAATCTTATAGCATATCTGTGGTTTCAACCTCTCCCATTCCCACCCATTTACAGGCGAATGTTTCCGCCGTTCAAGGTTAAACTTAGTAATCTGGAGAAGCGTGCGAAATATATTGTCCTCATGGACATCGTGCCGATGGACGACTGTCGCTACAAATTTCACAACAATTTGTGGATGATCGCTGGCAAAGCGGATCCAGAAATGCCCAAGCGAATGTATCTCCACCCCGACTCACCCTCAACGGGAGAACAGTGGATGCAGAAGGTGGTCTCATTTCACAAGTTGAAACTGACAAACAATATTTCGGACAAACATGGTTATGTGAGTCAATTTCTACCATAAGTCTTGTTCTTTGCATTCCCATAGTCATCATTCGGCGAAAGGATAAAATGAGTCAGTTCACTGTAGCCACCTTCATGTGCATTGGCCTCGTGTGTTAGCCAAAACGAATTTATTGGTCATGCGGGCTCCATTGATTGCTGCCGCATAAACATGACACAAAGAGTTGCCCAGCTGCACGGTCGGAGTATATAAGTAGGCAGTTTCACTTGCATGAGGCACCTGTGAAGCAAGGCCTCTTCAAGCCAGTGGCTTGTACTATATTGCTGACTGGCAATAAAGCATTCAGGGGTGATCTAATTCATTCGTCCTCCTCAGTCATTGCTAATATAGGCCACTTAAACCCCAAGTCGGGTGGGTACTTAACACGGCAACTAATTCGCTGACCTAGTAAACTGAAATACTCAAGTCTGCAGAACTGTTGGTAACCTATCATAGGTCAGTTAAAAAAAATTGAATACCCCGTTTCGATCATCAGAGAGCGTGTTTTCCATACTTGTTGAGTTTTCCCTTTGTGATGCGCGCCGGTGATCAGAAAATGATGTGAAGGCTACTATGTGCAACCGTGTTACCAAGCTTTGTGGTTGCACTTTTGTTCCCTCATTCTGATACGGCGGGTTTTGTTCGCCTCAAGCATCTATAGACCTGCGCCTTATATTATGGGGAAATAAATCTTGAGAATACTTATGTAGGTTCGTCTATTGGTGGAAGCTAGCATCTCTCAATCTTTTCGCTTTGGGAGCCATAATCCAGGCAGCGGGGTTATCGGATAATGTTGGTTTCATCGATGCAGATCGTAGTCAGACGATGACTAATCACTGACGGACCAGTTGGAGCAGCCGGTAACCTCAGAAAACACGCATTATCAGAAAATTGAAGTACGCATGCGTTTAGTGCGGGGTCAGGATGTGATCTTGTGAGGAACATAGCTACAACTACCGTCCGCTCGACCACCGCATGGTCGTACTCGCAGTAGGAGGTTTAGTTAAGCCGTGACCTCTGAAATATTCGACTCCTCTTTATTGTACGGGTTAGCTCCACAAAGTTTTAAATAAGTTGACTGTCCGGACTGGTGCAACGATGAGAAGTTTGGTGCACGTTTTCTCTCATCGATCACAGCCGCTTCCAATGTGCTCAAACCTGATCGGCGCCTGTGCTATGACCTCATATCAGTCTGGTTAAATCAACTTGATGTTTGACAGTGGCCAGCATTTTAACCGTAACTCTCGCTTCGCTTCAGCAGCGTCTGCGCGAGCTTGCATGTGTTTCCATTCAGCTGTTGAACTATTGTCCTTAGTACAGTTATGAGCGGTGCCCGCTTTGACCAACCCGCATAGTGAAACACTCACACTGACGGTGAGTAGGCCCGGATGCGTGAAAAAGCGGTGTCTGGTCAATACATAGATACTGCACACTTAGTGAAGTGTAGAACAAGCTTGTACCATGAGGGAAACTCAAGCGTGGTTTAAACAAAGACCTAATGGTACTGTCGAACTGATTGAATACGAGTTCCATCCCTAGTTTTCATGCACATAAGTATTTGGGAATTCAGCTTCGGCTGTTAAAATTACTTGGTTAAGTGACTTGACGCCAGTTGCACCTTTGGCTGCGACGCATTTTCGGTTAAACGATCCTCACTCATTGTTGGCCTATTGACTCGATGGCAACTGACCAAACTCCTCCAAATGCCCTTGTGTTTGAATGATTAAGGGTACTGATGCATCACGATTTTCGCCCCAAAGAAAAAGAATAGATGCCTACTATATGTAGATGCCTCTTCTCCCAAAACGAGCAAAATGTATTGCATTCGGACAGTTTAACTTTGGGCAGAAGGAACCGCATATTGTTTGTCTGATGTCTGAGTGCAAATACTCGAGAGAAGTAGGGATTGAATTGGTAGGTAACCGATTTATAATCTGGGTGCTGTCTTACCTTCCAGACTGGAGCCCACGCTACCCACCTTGTGTTTGGCTCAAGACCTTACAGAACACGGCTGGCATGCGGCACTAGTGGCGGGTTGGTTGTCGTCTCCCCACCGGACTGCCTGCTTAGAGCCTGATGCTGAGTTATCTGTGCAACAAAGCAACTTATAGTGCAGGGCAGTAAGATTCTCAAAGAGTTTGTTCCGTCGATGCCACCGTATTAGTTGCGCGATAACCAGCTGTTCGTGGCCGTAAGTTACTGGAAATGTGCAGGCGTCTTGAACCTGCTCGTTTCACTCGTGCATGTGGATTTCACACTAGGTTCTGCTTCCCGTCTTAACTCTCCCCATCTCCTAGGTCATTGTGGCTGTGCAGCAGTGAAGCATTCCTTCCAATGTCTCATGTACGGCTGTTGATGGTGGGGAGGCTGAGCCACCATACCAAGTTTGATCCACCATCTGTTATTGAGGAGCACTATCGGCTTTGAAACTGACGATATCTAGATGTTATTTCAGAAACAGGGTGGTTGGCTCGCTTTGGAATTGGAACAAAAACCCCAGGTGGCCGAAGTAGGAAAGATAAAATATCCAGACAGAAAATTAGGTCGACAGGCGGCTGCTTGCTTACACAACGTTGTATGTAGTGGATTCAATCTTTACCGGGAGGAATTTCGTGAGTGCTGTGTTTTCGGGCTAGCAACATCCAATTTCCATCTGCTTCAGCAACGGTCCTCAATATCGAAAAACCAAGGTTCGCTTCAATGGGAATCGTGGTCAACATTGAGGTTGCGTGTCGTAACCCATCTACACAACTTGTAATTCAAAATGACCTTCAATATCCAGTTTGTGACATATTTGTTAAAATGATTATTCAAGTTACCTACCAAATCAGAAACCTCTACCAGTTTGTGAGGATCATGGGCTCAGTTTATCTACGGTCGCTCAATTTGGCTTGGTTGACTCGGTCAGTAAAGGACCGCTGTTTGAAATACCCATTAAACGGAGCATTTTCTCTCTCAGTGTACGGATTAACATTGGGTCCTGCATTGCACGTTTGTGTTGTAGTAGGTTCACACCGTCGCACTGGTATTTACTCTCGACAACTGAAAAGAAAAGTGTCCTTATTTCGCGCTGTCTGCTAACCTGACATTTACCTAACTGTCGAACCATACCCCGTTTAGCCGAGTAAGTGTCTCACAGTCCATTAATGAAATAGGAGTCTTTCGTGAAGTACGCTCATCCGGCCTTGTCAGAACGGCATAAAGGACAGGTGGCACCTACGAGTAAGGAGCCTGACAACGTAATCACACCAAAAGAAAGTTATTTGTCCAGGTTTATCCATTTCGTAGAGCAATTTTAAAAGGCAGAACAGGCGCATATACATCGTCAGCGCTATGCTCAGAATGGGAACAAATTATCAAGCAAAAAATGCAACTGATTTCGGAACTGAATGCGAAGATAGAGCGAAGCTGAGAGAAGGGTATCTGAACTGTCCGGAAGAGGATTAATCACCTCACACATCTCCATAAGAAGACAATTGTAAGCAGCTGTCTTCAGTGCTTACAGGAACAGTTCGGGGTTCAGCGCTGTGAAAACGGTAATTGACACTTGCAACATTAAGTGAAGTCAATGAAAACGCAGGCCGTATTGGAATTTCGTGCTCTCCCCTTTTGCGCACAGGTTTGCTCATCGGTTCTGTCAATGGCTGCTTAAAACACCGACGAATTCATTGCATTTCAACTTGTTTTGTCATTCGCTACCTCCAACATCGATATAACCAAAACGACTTGACAAATGACGTAAAGCAGCTTCCAAGTTGCCCTAAATGTGACAAGAAATCGTCCGTAAGGGTCCTCTTGGACTTTAAAGACTGCTGTGCGAGTGAGTGGAAGTATGTGAAACAAATGCATGGTGATCGTTTGTCTAACAATCTATAGCCCTCCATTTTCAGGGCTATTCTTTAGCGTTCTACTGGCGTGCATCTAAACCGCGGCTAAACTAGCTTATGCTTAGGTAGTCTATTGAGATGTTTGGCAACCGACTAACTCGTTCAAAGCAGTCCGAGTTTAGAGCAAAGTAAGCTGGCTTCGACCGCCCAACGTGAAACTCATCGGCCTTTTATCATAACTTTGTACAACTGCTTCTACCCCACAATAACTGGGGAGACGAAGGGACCGCAATAACCTTACAAGCCCTGGAGGAGTGGTGGGCGTCGCGACAGCTAGTTGGTAACACGACAGTAGCCTCCCGAGACCTGACGGCAATCCTCGACCATCCCACCTTTGCACGCGTGACCGTAATTGTTGTTGGAGCCGGCTTCGTTCGGCGCGACTGTAATTACACCCTCGTCAAACGTGATAGGAGACACAAAAGGCACACTTGTGTCCTGTTCCTTGGTCAGACACATCAACGGAAAGCTTGCAAACAGATTTTTTTCGCCAGATCACTAGTTTCATCTGAGGCACGGGTCTTCACACGCGTGCACACGCTGCGCGCGCTAGCAAACGGTCTGTGGGGCGTCCATCTTGGGTGAGCATGAAATTATCTTTTTATCCAACCCGAAGCTCATCTATGTGCCTTTTTCACATCAAAGCAAAATGTTCATATAATTTGCGCTCAATACCACGTGAGTTAAACTCGGTGTCAGACTAAGTGTGAACCCTACAAAGGCGTGGCGCTTTTGCTTTTGGCAAGGAAGGTAGATTACACTTGACTTACACTTTCAAGTCAGGTTCGTTTAAGAATGAGCTATGTGCGCTCAAGATGAATTCATATTCAGCTGTAACACAAACCCCTCCAGCATTTTAACGAATAAAGATTACCACGAATAATTGCAAAAGAGTTAAATAAAACACGGATAGTAATATCATCGCGATATAAACTTGCAAGTAGACTCTTAAATGATTGAGTTCTGATTCAGCAGAAAACTAAAGAGCAGTAGCCGTGTGTGCTAGCGTGAATGGAATTGGATTCTGGTGGAAGAACTGCATACCCTACCAGATGATGCACATCAAATGGGGCGAGCTTTATCGATGGACATTTTTAAAATAATCTGTCCGTAAAGAAAAGTTATGAGTGAACAGTATTGTTGACAAAGTTCTGCTTTGGATTGGCGCTAAACAGTGGTTATTGCTTCGGTGATCTGACATGTCTTTAAATGCTTATCTAGTAGACTAGGACATATTATAACAGTAGGTATGATAGGGTGTATCACAAGCAATGGTAAATCACAGTAGTAAGCGGTGTGGGGCAGAGGAGGATTTCAGACAAGAAACGTAAAGTGACATCTCAGCTTTTGTGGTGGAGATAAGTCATGACTCAACGTGACACTTTGCTACTTCACTGATCTGGAGGAGTGGAACACCGCACCATCCATATGAAGTGCAGTGCACCCCGTGAGGAGATTCTGATAACAACATCCTTTGCATAGTAGGGTAAGAACAGCAATGCTATTAGGTGTATTAGGCGACAGGACTTGTAACTTGGTTGATCATGGTGTGGTCGGATGCTTGATTCTCAAGACCACGTCTTCGACATACTTTAGTAAGTTCGCTTTAGTAGGGACAGGTATTGAGTTGACGAAAGTGGGAAAGAGGAACGGTGACCGAATGGTCTGAAAAATACTACAGTTTGTGTAGAGCGGTGAAGAATTTGTGCACAAGTAAAATGGACACACTCGGTGGAATAATCCATCTGCAAGAGGATGATGTAACGTTGAAGTGCCGTGCCTGCGCATTTTCAAGCGTGTACTGAGGGAATATTTACTTGTTGGACTCCTGACGATAGAAGACCCGTTTTGCTACCAACAAAAGTGGCTGCTTATGGGTATACTTTACATGAAAACACGGTAGCAAAAATTTGGGACGAACCGTTTGCCACTATGTCTACAGACGCCCATCGGGTAAGATTGAATTAAAAACGCTCAAATGGACATAGGCTAGATGGACTAAATCGCTACTAGTCGTCGTAACTGTTCATTCGATTCTCGGCAAAACTGCGGGGGCCCACATACTCACCATGAGGCGACATGTAGAATGCCGATGCGGTGCACAACAAGCTGAAGGCGCTGTTTTCAGTGCCTTTCACTGGCAGCCAACTGCATATATCTCCTAATAACAATACCAGTACTTAATCTCTTTTGTGTTTTAAGCCAAAACTATTTGGGTGCATTAGAAGAATAGCAAATCTGCTATGTTTACCTTACCACATTTGATGACGAAAACATGAACATCACATTATTCGTTATCCTATACTCGAAATAACGCCGTATTTTATGTAATTCTTTCGTGTAGACGATACTCAACTCCATGCACAAATACCAACCGAGATTTCACCTAGTACGGGCCAGCGATGTTTTGCGTCTTTCTAGCGCACGATTCCACACATACACCTTTACGGAAACACAATTTCTCGCGGTTACCGCCTATCAAAATGAAAAGGTTAGTTCACCGTCATCTATCTGCGTTGAAAACCACGAGTGGAATCATTCGCGTTTTATGGTACCTCATCAGTGAGCTCATTCCGGCTTCCGTTCCTTCCCGTTCCATAGATCACGCAACTTAAAATTGACCACAATCCTTTCGCTAAGGGATTCCGTGAAACTGGTGGAGGACGTCGTGACAAGAAGTAAGCAAGGGGTATTATTCGCACATTTTCACCTCTACCCCACCCCAACAGAACGTGTTGTTTATCGTCCTTCAAAGCTGTTATTGTTATTATCTGTATATACCCAATATTTATAAACTAAGGTCTACGGTCAGAGGGGGATCTCTTTGCTTTAATTACTGTTATTCCGCCCCAACCGGTTCAACCCGTACCGTAATGAGAACGCCAAATATCAGCCGGACCCAGAGTTGTAAAGCGTTGGAACACAGCAATATAAATAAGATGAAGCTAAGCTCCTAAACACGTCATATCCAATAACAATATCAAAGACTCTGATTACTGCCTATTAACTGTACTCAAACCGGTTCAATTCTGACTTGAACTTTCTGTGGAACCCCACATATATTGGCATTCAATCTCTCATTGAGTGCAATCTCCTAATAGTCGATCGATCCGTGCTTCGCTGGCCTCCTAGCCTCAACTAGTACCATGTAGCATTTATGCCACCATGCTTTACATTCAGATAGAATGTAGTAAGTAGGCGCCTGCGCACATGATGTTGGGAGCACCAAAACGTATGCAGCCGCGCTCGAAATTTCGTCATAACAATCTAAAAAATGGACTGTAGCCAGTTTACCCTCTGTTTTTTTTCTCCGCAATTCTCGCTAAGATAAAATATGGGGTACCTCTGGTGGGAAGTACCTTGTGTCCTTTTTGATTCATCCGAAAAAGGAAATCAGGAATCAGTTTGCGGCACTCCGTTTGCAAAGGTGTTTTCCTCAGGTCCGTGTCACTCGCCAATGTCATGCATTGCGAACGAACCGGACTGAACCGGAGAATCCGCGTTATTACCCTGAGGTCACCGTGGTTCATTTAGCCTATCCGTAGGGCGAGGAATTATGTATAGACTTTACATTTCCCCATGATACCGTAGTGTGACTCAATTACTTCAACCCCAAATTTACCGACACAACCATACATGAAGGTCCACCCGTGAAGACCAAGGGATCCCAGTGTGTAACGAAACTATGCTACCTACTCAGATTCAAGATAACCTGTCTATTCGTCGGACATGGACAAGGGAATATAACGTGGGGTGAACTGTGTTGTTTCGACTTAAACGTATGTCCGTTTTGTAATATTTTTGCTTTACACTTTGCTGGAGTACCTCGGAGTCTCATCAAGCTATTGCATCTCTGGTCGGCTAACTTTCCGCATAAGTTATTGGTGCGCAATCCTTTTCTGTTGTTTCCATTGCACTAGCAGAAGAACTGATGGCATCAGAACCAGCACGATGAGGACCCAGGGTCAGTCAGATAAGCAACGTGAAGATAGCGAATTTTTCAATGGCTCAAACCACACATCTGACACAGATAATGAACGGGACGGTGACCCTCTACTCGATTCAACGGAAAATCAGACAGAAAAACTTACGTCGTATCCAGGATCACACGCGGTGTACATGCCCCATGTACGACAATCAAACAGACGTAAGTGGTGAAACTTACTTTTATTTAGAGCATCGCCCTCCATTCTGAGTAAGGTGTGACTACGGGACTTATTATGGTGAAACTTTCTGGCCACAGGTTTGAGTACAGAAGGTGGGATAGAACACACCTCCAGGAGTATCAACTGTTACCCGGCGTTGCGGCCATTAACGTAAGGCACACCTTCATGTACAAGGCTTTTAACCGTGTCGTGGTAACCTAAGTTCCCGGTCGGGACGCGTGCATGTTCATCCATCCGGAGAGGGTGCCGTCACGTAAAAGGATGGCGTTCGCCATCCAAACCCGAATGGGAGCAGATGTGACAAGGCCCCGGAACATACGTAATCCACCGGGTTGCCGGGTCTGTGTCGGAATTCGGGAAGCTTTATGCGTCACTTTGATCTTCAGTGGGAAAGTTGATGATGGAAGACCAGCCATGTCCTTACAATCACATGCATGGATGGTTTGGTACAAAGGCGGCCTGACCGACACGCCATGGGATGGTCATTTAGAAGGACAATAATACGGATGAGGTGTAATTAACCGTATGCGTTAAAGTCGTTGCATCTCAGGAGCCCAGATCGCAAGGTCGGTAAATGTTGTCACACGATTATAAAGAAATTGTGAAGGTAACCTTCACGAAGGTGGTTAAAATCATCCATTCTAGAGGTGTGGAATAATTTTTCAGTTGGTTCACACATGGTTCTGAGTCCCAGTATTAAAGAAGGCTGAAATGGTCAAGGAGGTTATATTGGAAAACGGTTGAACCTAATCAGTTTCACCATGAAACCAACAACTGTAAAGTGGCATGTTCGAAAGCTTCAGATGACACAAATGAAGTTCAGTAGTTTTTCGAGCAACCGTATTCACTGATGAGCGATGCTTCATCCTAGTAGAGCGTTTTGCCGTTGTAAATACTCGGAGATGTTTGCCGTTTACCGTGCAGTTGGTGGCAATTCTTGTGAAACCCGACAATGGAGTACGTCTTTCTGCAAGCAAATGCAGATTGGGTACATGCTCTGTACAGAAGTGCCAATATGTATCCAGTTAACTTTGGCCATCTCATAATTGCAAGCTACAGTTGACCGCTTCCAGTGCAGCTCTTGGGCCGACCTTTCTGATTAATAGTGGATCCGGCGTTGACTGCCCTCGGCCATCAACTCGGTTAATACCTTCAGTCAAAAATAGGCCTTTCGGTTAAAAATCCAAATACCCGATCTTAGCCATTTTCCGACCCTACAGCTGACTCACACTTTACCGAAATTGATCGCTCTGCAAGCCATAGTGATTCGGGCCATTGTTGTTGCCTAGATAATCGACGGTAACTGTGTATTATGGTCCTCATCGCAGGGCGGTAGCCTATCCGACTGAACGTTCCTAACCGATCAGTCAAAGCGAGCAGCGACATGCTCTGTTCGGTCGAGGGAACCATGTTGAATATGCCGATGCCAATCTTCTGGTAACTTCCTTTCCTGTTGCCTCGCCATCAGGATCGCATTATCTACACACTCCAGGGTCCACAACCAGTGTCATTTGGGAGTGACGCAAGCCTTCCGCACCTTTATTGTACACGTCTGCCTGGCAACCGTCTCTACGCTAGGCTTGCTCGACGTATCCCTGATGGTTGAATGTCGATCGTGATCGGTGCGAAATAGTAGTTGGTGAGGTTTCCTTACAATGAGGAGGACGGTTCATGCTCGTGTTTGTACACATTTCACGAATCAGGTAGCCTACCAATAGTATGTAACTAACAAGCGACCACAATATATTACTACCTCCTAACGGATGACTGCTTTTCTCTCTATTAGGTGTGGGACAGAAACGTCAACTTCCATTCCTTGAGAACGACGGGATGCAAAGAGCGGATTCTGCGACGGCAACAAATCAGTCACCCGATGGGAGAGTTGTAGACCTACCGCCTTCTCCATTGGAACCAAGTCAGTTGAATGGCTGCTTGGATCTCACAAGACACACTCCGTTCGATCCAAATATGCGGCGGAGCCGTTTCCACTTGGGGGAAAGCAGTAGTGTTCTGAAGCGACAGTCAAGTGAGAACAGGTCTCCTCCAAATGTAACAGTCCTTTCCAGAGGTGACCTCAGCCACCAGCTGTATGATCTACACCCTAGCACGATCTCAGTAGTGCAAGGAGAAACAGCACAGAAATATCGCCGTCGAGGTACGTGCGATGCACCTTCTCGAAATTCCATATTACCCAACTCTGCATTGTTTCGGTCTTCAGACCCACTCTCCAACCAGGCCCAGTGGGTTGATGCCCTCCGCCCACCTATGTCGAACGTGACCTCTTCGATGCAGCTGAACAGTTTAACTGACAGGGTGACAAATTTGGTCGGCCACAACGAATGTACTCCTACAGACTCACGTAACGCGCGCACGATTGCTAGCCCGGCACTGCATTCACCACACCAACTTGCACTTTTCACATCGTATATAACACAAAATCCCCAAATACTTGCACAGATTTTTTTATACATGCAACAACAACAACAACATCTAGTGTCGGTAACCTCCATGTCAAAAGGGGAGTTACCCACGAATCTTTCCGCTAATGAGCGAACATTCAGCTGGACTTCAACACATTCCACAGAAAACAACTTGATTGTAGCACCAAGCCGGACACAAGTGCACCCAGAACAGCCCGTGTCCCGATTCTCCATATCCGCGTTGACGGATTCCCTCACTTCAACAAGTAGAGTATCCACATCTTACCCTGCGATTAATCCGACAGAAAAGTTGGTTCCGGGTTTTGAAAGGGGCCATGACTTTTCCCCACGTTCTCAAGTGGACAGCACATCTGAAGCATCCACGGGAAGAACAATGGATAAGACGGTTACATCCATATAAGAATAAGGGAAAGGATGAGCGCAACAGGACATTTATTTCCCTATGCGAATGATCGGTATAACATTACAAAACAGCTTTCAACACCAAAGAGTACACACTACATCTGTGATTTAAATTGAAAGAGTACCCTTCAGTTACAGTAGTCGTGTACATCATAACACTGTATATTCTCATCCATGAGCTATGCAGGCTTTTCACTTCCATTCATCGAGTTTTTTTCAATTCCAGAGTACAGTGCGAAATAAGCACACAGTTGCTACATTCACACAGCATGTCCATTAGCAAGAAAAACTTAGAGCTCAAGTAGGCCCAAATTCGACGCTTCATCCATATATATATATATATATATATATATATGCCCCTTGCTGAGGCTGATGTTGCCTTCATGGTGCTTCTTCACCGCAGTTGGGCTAAACCAACTTACACTTAAACTAGGTCTTTTTAATGTGGATAAAATTCGTTACATGTTATTTGGTTTGTTCTGCGTACTTGATAATCTTCTCCTTACTTGCACACGTCGCTCACGCAAATTGTGGTAAACTTGCGTAATTTTATCGCGCGGTATTTTTTAAATAACTTTCGGACATTTTGTACTTATCACGGATTCACTTATAACCGACTTTTTCTATATGCTCATTTAGCGAGTATTTATGTCGTCATATGCGTTTACTTTAATCGATATCGGCATTTCGAATGATTGGCTGTTGTTTGACATCCCAGGTGTGGCTGCGCTTGATGTGCATGTTGACAAGGTGCCTACCAGTCTATTACCCACTACCTCGTCCATACTGGCTCCAGGAGACAGTTGGTCGTTACTGGAGGGGACGGGGTGCACGGTCCTTGTGGTCGTGCTAGGCTCGAAGAGTGGTTCCATGCACTCAGTGTGGAGCGGACTACGGTCCAGCCATCGCCTTGTGTGCGCTTGATTCCCCAAATACAGCGTGCTTGTGTTTGTCTGTGAAGGAGTGTGGGCCGGCTCCGTTGATGGAACGTGGCTCCCATCCACATGCCTCCCGGTCTTATTCCTTCGGGTTTACACTGGATATGGGGTGTGTGGTTGGAGCTGTGGGTGGTGCAGCGCGAGCCACCCATGGTCCCTCTGTAGGCGCAGGCGTCCTGTGGCTTGCCACAGTGACAGGCAAATCCGAAACCGGATGCCGCCAACCATGTATAAATATCGACACCAGCCTTTGTACTCACTTTTTGTTGACTGCACCAAGGCATTTCATACGGTGAACCGCGAGACATTGTGGCTGGTGTTGGGTAAGTTTGGTTGCCCGCGTAAGTTTGTAAGTTTAATTGAATGTCTGCATAGTGGTATGCAAGCGAGGGTGCAGCTGAGTGGACAGACCTCGGATGACTTTGCAGTTGTCACTGGTGTGAAGCAACGCTGTGTCTTAGCTCCTGCCCTGTTTAATATTTAGCTTCATGCCATGATGTCTTGTGCTCTTGATGCGGTTTGTGCTTACGGTGTTCGTGTGGAGCACCGTATTGCTGATTGGTTGTTGGACATCCGTCGTTTCGGTGCGAGAACCCTAGTCTGTGAGACAACTATCCATATGCTGCTGTTTGCTGACGACTATGCATTGTTTGCACACAGTGCGGATGAGTTGCAGCACATGACTAGTGATCTGGCCTCGGCAGCGGCCAAATTCGGGATCACCATCAACACAAGCAAAACTGTCTGTCTCTTTCAGCCTTCACCAGAGGTGCAATCTTCAATATTGCCGCAAATCAGCATTGGTGCTGAAGTATTGGAAACCACCTCCCGCTTCTGCTACCTTTGGAGTGTGATGTCGACTGATCAGCAGATACACAGTGAGCTGTCTATCCGCGTGTCGAAGGCGGCATCGGCAGCATTCGGGAAGCTTGAGTACCGAGTGTGGAACAACCATCAGCTTACCGTTGGCACGAAGCTGATGGTGTACAAATCCATGGTGCTGTCCGTTCTTTAATACGGCAGTGAAACGTGGACGATGTACCGGCGGGATGTGCGATATCTCGAGCGGTTCCATCAGCAGTGTCTGCGACGAATTTTGCGGATCGGCTGGGGCGCCAGAGTTGCAGACACGGAAGTGTTTCGCCGAAGTGGGATGTATGCAGTAGACTGCATACTTTTGCTGAGACACCTGATGTGGCTCGGTCATGTGAGCCGTATGGATTCGACGCGGATACCGAAACAACTCTTATATGGTCAGCTGAGTATTGGGAAGCTGCATGTGGGGAAACCAAAGTTACGTTACCAGGACATGATCAGAGTGAGCCTCTCACGTTCTAATCTTGATTGCAGGTCATGGGAATGGAAGGCGGTTGATCGCCTTGCATGGCGCGATCTGATCACGAAGGCAGTTGCCGAGGTGCGGGAGAAAGACCTCATACAAGCAGAGAGGAAGCGGCAATTGCGGAAGCGACAAGTACCGATGGATGGTACCCCATCGACATCGAGCGCATGGTGCTGTAGCACATGCGGTCGCGAGTGCCTGAATCAGGCAGGCCTAGTGAGTCATGAGTGAGGCCACTCGGGACCACTACCGAAGCGACGACGGGTCCTGAACAGAAAGTAGGCAGAACCGGCCCGGTGTTTGTAGGTACGTTGCATTCGCTTTACTAATCGCGTACTTGCATGCTAAGTCTATTTGTTTCAGGTGATGGGTTTTCAATTTTATGCTAACGCTTTTCTTTCTCAGATTAATGTCTACTGTACTCTCTTCTATAAACTTGCGCATGTCGTTTAAGCCAATTGTAGTTAATTTCGATAATATTTTCGTGTTTGTGGCATTTCCGTAAAATATACTTTCTGACCTCGTGAACTTATCTCGGATTCGATTGGAGACAACTTATTTCATATGCTCATTAATTTAAGATTTATGTCACCGTTTCCCTATGCATTACTCGATTTATTTTCTTTGTTATCTTTCCCTCAAGTGATTGGCTGTTGTTTGATATCCCCGGTGTGGCTGCGCTTGATGTGCTTGTTGACAAGGTGCCTACCAGTCTATTACCCACTACCTCGTCCATCTGGCCCCAGGAGACAGTTGGTCGTTACTGGAGGGGACGGGGTGCACGGGCCTTGTGGTCGTGCTAGGCTCGAAGAGTGGTTCCATGCACTCAGTGTGGAGCGGACTACGGTCCAGCCACCGTCTTGTGTGCACTTGATTCCCAAATACAGCGTGCTTGTGTTTGCCTGTGAAGGAGTGTGGGCCGGCTCCGTTGATGAAATGTGGCTCCCATCCACATGCCTCCCGGTCTTATTCCTTCGGGTTTACACTGGATATGGGGTGTGTGGATGGAGCTGTGGGTGGTGCAGCGCGAGCCACCCATGGTCCCTCTGTAGGCGCAGGCGTCCTGTGGCTTGCCGCAGTGACAGGCAAATCCGAAACCGGATGCCGCCAACCAGATATATATATATATATATATATATATATATATATATATCTTTATAGGATTCAAGCACAGCTTGATGATATGAGTTTAATTTGATGAAAAGCCACTTCTACCATTCCGATCGTTGGGTTGATTGAAAAAGGAACACCAGCACCACTAACTATACTTGTAAATCGGATACTTCCATAGCTAAACCCTCACTCGGTTTCTTTGCAGCTATGCCAGACTGTTTCAGTAACAAACTATTCAAAACACAGAAACAAACAGACACATGGATGTGGTACACCTAGGTACTACACGGCCTAATAGGGAGGGCGAAGGAAGACGTTGGTGCATTGCATTCGTTACCCTGTGAACTCCGACAGAATTTCCAGTCTTGGATGTAGCCGTGGAGATTGTACTGTTACTGCAAGCATAGTACTCCAAACTAAAGTAGACTCTGTTTCAAATTCGATGCACCAAGTAGGTGGTGCCCTATTCAGGAAATCAGGGGACAGAAGCGTAACAATGGGGGCGACGGGCGGTCCGCGCCGGGTGCTAGGCAACAGTGGGCGGCATTTTTAGTACAGCTGATTGTTCGACTCCAAGTGTAAACGGCAAAATTGCCGGATAAGCCAATAGTTGAACTTTGAATTATTGGTCTGGATAAGCAGAAACACATTTGCGTCACCTATCACATCTGTCCGTCGTCCGTTCCTTACCGCGTTTGCACAGATCTGTCCAGTTACACATCGCCCCGAAGACAGTTACTCGTGAAGGTAATGTATTGTCGTCCATAAGGCGTTGTACAGTAGTCACGTCATTGCAAAGGGTTTTATGGTCCAATACAGGCACCTGCGTGATCTCGTTTGCTGACTCTGGCATTCGTGATATGCTTGTACAGTCGCAAGTACGGTGGTAGGTACTCTCATTGTCTGCGTTGTGAAGACTCCGCTACTTCTGTGCTCAGCGGGTATTGGTGAGGTTTGTCCTTATGGAATGTGATATCCATTTCTATAGTACCGTAGTTCACTTTCGCCTAATTTTTGCCTTCACCCGAGAGTTCGACACGTTGGTCAAGATCTCAAGCAATTTCGCTGCTTACAACAAGTTTGTTTTATCCTTGTCTCTATGCCTTATTGTTCTATAGGAATTCCGGAAAGGCTGTTCACAATGGTGAAAGTTTACGGATTTACGGCTGCTTGGAGGGATAAAGATCCTTACGACGGAACCGAGCGGCAAAAACCGTTGCTACATCAATGAGAAAATGGGGGCTCTGGGTTTTAGGCAGAGACAGGAATGTTGATGGAACAAGTGTTCACCACTTCAAGACAGTTTATCGAACTGTTATTTGCGCCTTTTGGCCATAAACATTGAACACAATTCCATAGGTTAGTCCTGCATTAAAGCAGTTATACACCTACAATCACACGCATTGTGTAGGAGTAATTACCAAGATATAGGAAAGTAGCGCTTGTAGTGCATCCCATTCCTTTGGGTCAAGTTCAGTTAATTGTTATGCGTACATCGGTGACGGATGTGAGAGTTAAAACGACCCATCCTATCCGGTATTGTATTCTCAATCAGCAGCGGTACCACGGACACTAGTGGAAACTCTCTATCAACCCGCTGTACAGTTGTTTCACAAAAATTGGACCATTCCACACTTTTTAATAGTTCCATTGTACTGCTGGTTGATTCCGTGTGTCCGAAGTTCTTCGGTACTGACTAGGTTTCAGTGATCTTATAGTTAAAAGCACGCATGGAGTTCACATGTAACTGCGAAACTCCACACAATCTGAGCTTAGTTGCACGTGAATACTTTTCCCTATTGGTCTCTGGCCAGGGGTATTGAACTGGTGTAA